TTGTTTCACATACACACACACACACACACACACATTCACATTCGGTTATTTCTAGTTATTTAGCTCAACTAGTTAGTTAGTTATCGTGATAGTCAAGTTAAGTGTTTGTTTTAAGACGTTGTAATATTTATCATCATTGAATTTCGAGTGTACAAGTAGCTCTATATATTAAATAAAATAGGTTTTCGTTGTCATTGTCGTCGTTGTTGTTGTTGTTGTCGTCGTTGTTGTTGTTGTTGTTGTTGTTGTTGTTGTCAACAAATTGATTTGGACACTTTGAAAGAAAATTCAATAAATGAAAATACCATTTTTTCATCATCATCATCATCATAATGATATTTGATTTGATTTGTCCTGTCACTCTCTTTCTCTCTCTCACTCATACACACACAACCATTCATTACTGAAACCAAATTTTTGTTGTTGTTTCATGTTTTTTTTTTTTTTGTTTCGTCTTGGATAATTTCGTCATTCTGTAACAATCTTTCCATTCCATTTTTTTTCCTACTACTCTTGTTGTTGTTGTTGTTGTTGTTGTTGTTGCCATTTTGTGAGTTGATTGATTTGGCAACAAACATGGCCACACACTCATGCACTTTAGGTAAAAACATTATTATTCTATAACGTTCTAGATTTCGAATTCGAATTCAAACACGCACACAAACATGAAAGCTTTTGTTATAATGAAATTGTCACACACACACACACACATGAATCAGAAATATAAATATTTTTCTTTCCACTGTAAATAACAATCTCTGGCTAGTAACAGAAATGTAATGTAAAAAAAAAAGTCAAATGGAAAGAAAAAAAATGTCACCAAAAAAAATGTCACTCATTGTTTTCATGTGAAGAAATCAACAACGAAAAAAAAATTTTTTTTTCGAAATTCTTTTATGATTCTGTAACACATTTTGTTATGTATATCATTTGTGGTTAACTGTTTATTTATTTATCTATCTTCAATTTACTGATTTCAGAATGAAAATAAATCATCACCAAGTGAGTGAGTGAGTGTATGAGAGACAATGATGTCGTCGTATATTATTAAATTCGTTGATGACAACAACAAATGGAATTTTTTTTTCTTTTCGTTGCCCTAAATTCAATTGGCAAACAAAAAAAACCATATCCATTCATTCATTCATTTGTTGTGGATAGGATGTTCAGGTAAACACAAACAAGATGGAACAATATTTATTCTCATTCTCATATCATCATCATCATCATCATGGTTGTCATGTTTTTGTTTATTTGATTTTGATTCTTTTTGATGATCACTACCACCACACTACTAATAGACGCCAATGGGCAATCTTATTTATTATCAAACAAAACAAAAAAAAGACAATTCTTTTTGATTTGGACAATTTATTTTTCATCATTATTAATAGACAGGTGAATCAGCAACAATCAAATTGACACATGGGCAGATAAAATTCTGATTTCTGATTGTGCTGTGATCAATTGGCATTTTAGTCAGCAAAAAAAAAAAAACTGTAGACAACTCAATTGAAAAAAAACCCAGAGTTTTATGCATATCCGTAATTCACGTACACAATACACAAGCATATTTCAAATGTCCAAATCAATCGAAATCAGACAATGATGACGATGATGATGGCAAAAGAATTTATTTTTTCTAATTCAATTTGACTCACACACACACACAAAAATTACTGCGTTTTCTAGTGTGTGTGTGTGAGGCCATCATAAGCATCATCAAAGATCCTCAAAGATCAAAGCTTAATGTCTGGAATATATATATAAAAAGAAAATCGGATTAAACATTTTTTTTGTTGATGGTCAATCAGATGTGATCAATACACATGTGTGATGGTGATGATGATGAAGATTATTCAACAATTTGAAATGTCAATCTTACTGCGGTCGAATATTCATATATTTTTAATGATCAGTATAGAAATAAAACCAAAACTTTACCGGTTTATAAACAAATAAACAAACAAATGAAAAAAAAATTTTTTTTAATTGAAATTATCGATGTATGCGTGTGTGTGTGTGTGTACAATTTCATTATAGATTTGAAATATACAAATTTTTTCTTAATCTGATCATTTCAAGGAGAAGATCAAGTTAAAGGATAAAAAAAAAAAAAATGATACGTCGTCCATATGTAACTGACCGAATAATATCGTTCGAAAACAAAGAGAAAAAAAAACATTTAATTATCTGAACATTGGATTGGATTCTATTAGATATTCATTCAGTTTTTCATTCATTTGGCAAAAAAAAAGACAAAATCAGGCGGCCAATAACAATAAGAGACAAAAGGCAAAAAAAAATCGAAACATTTTCATTTCAATTCTTGATTCAATGATTTTATTGGCTATTTCAATTCTACGAAATCATTTCATCTCAATCACAAACATACACACACTACCATTCAATTCATTTCATTCGTCTATGAATGGATTTTCTAGTCTAAAAAAAAAATAAAGAAAGAAAAAAGATTCAATCGAATCGGATACGATACGATCATTTCAAACGATCAGATATGAAATGATCTTTGATCTATTATCTTTGATTTGATTTTCTTGTTGTTGTTATTATTGTTGCTGCTGCTGTTTCAATCTTTCAAGCTTTTTTATGCTGCTAAATGAGTTGTGAGCTTGCGCAGCATAAAAATCGATTCACCAACAACAACAACAACAACAACAACAACAACAAAAAAACGACATCCTTATATTTATTGTTCATTCATTGATGTGTAATAAATAAAATAAAAATAAAACAGAAAAAGAAAAAGAAGAAAAAATTTTTCCTTCTTAACAACATTCCAGATGGTAAAAGTAAATTATTTCCTTACAACAACAAACATGAAGATCAAGATCAAGATGATGATGATGATGATGATGATGATGACGATGACGATGACGATGATGAAAATGAAGATGGAGAAAAAAAAATAAAAATAAAAATAAAAAATCAAGATCAAACAACACAGTAAAAAAAAGAGAGAGAGAGAGAGAATCAATATTGTGATTGGTCGATTAGAATTACTTGATAGTTATTTTTTATGGATGTTTTGTCGGTATTTCATTCTCATTCTCTCTCTCTCTCTGTCACTGTCCATATGGCTGAGAGAGAGAGAGAGAGAAAAAAACTTTTCTTCTGGGTATTTTGAGCCGATTTGTTATTGTTGTAATTTCATTTACGATTATGTTTTATACGGATTTTGTTTTTTTTTTGTTTTTGTTTTACTTCGTTTACTGATTTCAATGAGGATGATTTTTTTTCCAATCTCCTACTGTTGTTGCTATTATTATTATTATTGCTTAATGTTCATGTCAAACTGATGTCAAATTTCTTCGTTTGTCTTTAATATAATATAAAATAAAAAACGAAAACGAAGACGAAGAAATTTTTTTTAGGTGTTTTTTTCTGGCAACAGAAAACAGGAAAAAAAATCAATAGAAATTGATTGACATTCAATGATGATCAATGATGGACAATGAGAAAAAATTTTTCATAGTTTGATAATGATGATGATGATGATAAAGTTTCCAAAACTTTATGCAAGCCACAAAATAATTCGTTCGTTACCGAATTTTTTTTTTTACTTCCAATAATTGATTGACAAGCTGACAAACAAACACCAGCAAACAAACAAACTCTCAAATTATGATGATGATAACGATGATTCTGATATAAATTCAGAATACCAGAATTATTTATATTATTGATTTTTAATTGATTTTTTTTATTGTTATCATGAAAACAACAAAAATGTCATACTATACTATACTATATATACTGTTTTATTATTATTATTATTATTATTATGATTGAGATGTAATGTACTGATATATTTGAATTACTCGTTTCTTTTTTTTTCTTTTTTTTTGTTTTTTAGCCACCATTATATATATATTATATATGGCGGCTAGGTCTAGTGTAGACATTAGACATTCAATTCAATGTTTGAACAATTTTTTCTTTGAAAACCGTCCATAATAAACAAGCAGGCTAAAGCTGACTGACTGGCAGACAGATGGATGATTGAAATGACTGACTGTCTGTCTGTCTGTATATTGGACATTGCCATTGAATTCTTTTGAAGATGTTTATATCATCATCATCATCATCAATAAGAAAGAAGAATCAAGATTCAATTTAACACGGATTTTCTCTCATTCTTTTTTTTCTGCACACACAAACACAAACACACACACAAAACATTCAAAGAATTGAATATTATGAACAATCATGACAAACATTATAATCACATTTGAACAATTCATTTGAAGCATTTTGTTGTTTGTGAATTTTGAATTTTTTAAAAAAAAAACTTGGAAATTTTTTTTCTTCACCAAGTTGTTGTTGTTGTTGTTGTTGTTGATGTTTTTTTCTCTGAAATTAAATCCGAAAATTAAACATTCAAAAAGAAAGAAAAAAAAACATATGTGAATTTTTTTTTTCGTATTTCTCAAGTAAAATGTCAGAGCCCAAAAAAAACCAACTACTTGACTTTTGAGAGAGAGATTTCATTTTGTTTGGCAATTATTGAACTATGGAAAAAGAAAAATTTTTTCGACCTTTATGATGATGATGATGATCAAATTGAAATTTGGCAATAAAAAAAAATTAAACATCAGATGATTATCATGTGTGTGTGTGTGTGCGTTTGATTAGTTTATGGTGGTCATATCACATAATTCATGGATTATGTTCCCATTTTTTTTTCGTACCTTCGGAAATGGATTCTTTTAACAATAATAATAAAGTGACGGTAAATGTGATTAAATTGTTTCGGCATCACATATCAAAAAATAAAAATTTTTTTGTAAACATAAACTACAGAATGGAGATCGAAGATCGTAAATTTTTTAGGGGTACTGAAATGAATTAAAAATTCAAAATATTCAAAAACGAAAGCAGTCAAAGAGTTTAAAACTTGCCTTTTTTTTATCGGTGATGATGATGATGATGATGATGATGAATGTATTTCCGTTGTACAGTAATTTTTCAAAATCGTCGTCGGCGTCGTCTTTGTTTTTGTTGTTTGGTTGGGTTGTTGGTCTGTTGATTATTCCTGAGATTCTATGAAATGAAACAAAAAAATTTTTTGAATCAATAAAAAACACAGAAAACAAAAGCAATATTGCAATTTGTGTTGTGTGTGTGTGTGTCGTATGAATTTTTTTTTTTTTTTTTTGGGTGAAATACAATTTTTTCTGTTCATTTATTCAGGTTTTTTTCTTATTTTTTTTCTGCCGTTGTTGTTGTTATTAGTCATGATGTTCTCTTTGTATTTTCAACCTTCTTCGGTTGCAAGAAATAGACAGAGAGAGAGAAAAGAACAGAACAGCTTGTTGTTGTTGTTGTTGTTGAACATTATCGTGATATAAGAATCGATATTTTTTCATCTTTCTATCAATATAATCATTATAATGACAAAATTATCAATTGTCAACCACGGGTATTACTATAGGAAGTGAACGAGTGAGGGAATGGGATGAAATGAATGTGAAAAAATTTTCATTTTCAAAAATGGTAAAAAATACCGGGTTTGAAGATTTATTTTCGTATTTTTTTTCGCACATAATTTTTTTATTTCACAATTCACTTGCTGTGTGATGGTCATCGAACCGGTGTTGTTACAAATTTTTTTTTTCTCTTTGGTAGAAAATGAATGGAGTAAAAAAAAGTTCAATTTCATCTGAATATGAAAAGATTTCATTTTTTTTTTAAATTTAATGTAGTTTTCGGTTGATTTTGTTTGTGTAAATGGAAAAATGATTACCACCGCCACTGTTACCGTCACCACCACAAAACACAGTAAATCATCATTATCCGGTAGACGAACTCGTTCAACAATAGATACCCAACAGCAAACAGCAGCAGCATTGATTATCATTTCATTGTGTGTGTATTGGATTTTTTTTTTCCTCACTCCATCGAATAATCATCATCATCATCGTCATCATTTTTTTTTGTGAACAAAAAAAAAAAGGAATTTCTTATTCAACCTAATCTAATGATGAAATGAATTTGAAATATCTGGAGAAAGAAGAAGAATAAGAAGAAACATTCATAATGATAATGATAATGATAGCAGCAGCAACAACAACAACAACAACAGGTTCTTTTAGTGGGTGTTTTTGTTCAAAATGATAAAATAATGATAATATCCCAATAAATGAATTGAATTGAATGAATTGAAATGGAATTCGTATCGAATTGAAATTTATTTCATTTTAAATATATATTCTTAACAGCAATGATAATGATGATGATGATAATAATAATGATAATAAATGGATGAATGATTCACATAAATTGTGGTTAATATTTTTCAGATTCAGATTCAGATTCAGATGATTATTATTATGATGATGATGATGATAATGATGATGTTAACTGGACACTTTGATTCCATTTTGACCATTACATCAATAAATATAAATGGTTTTTTTTCCTTTTCTCTGTGATAAAAAAAAATAAAGGCGAGGGTGTTTTTTATTTCTTTTCTTTTTTTTGCCTAAAAGTCTTCCTTGTTTATTAGTATTGCACACACACACACACACAAACATCTTTTATAGATGAAATATATAAATGACATTGAAATCAGTGAATGAATGAATTACATGATAATTACAATTGTGTTTTTTGCCACAATTGGCATCGAATCGAATCAGAAACCAATTAATTAATTGATTGTCGATTAATTGTCAAAAGTTCATGATTTCATTCATTTCAACACGATTTTGGAATGTACAATCTGAATTACATTGTTTTTCAAGGATACCGAAAAAAATTGTATTCCAAATGAATGAAAAATGATCATAATTAATGAATGAAATCTTGAAGAAATGAGAAAAAACAAAACACCAATGTGATTTCATCACCATTACACGATCGAATGGTTATGTCGTCGAGAAAAAAAAACAAAACAAAACAAAGCAACAAATAAACTTCCCATTGTTAAATTGTTGATTACCTATTATCATTATTGGCTCATTATCATCATCACCATCATCATGATCATTTAGATTATTCGTGAATTTGGGGCGTTGTTCATCATCATCATCATCATAAAATACAAAACACAAACAATTCATCAATAATTCGGTGTGTGTGTGTATATATTCATTCGGTATGCGTAGGTTAACATTACCAGATCCATAGAAAACAGGAAGACATTTCCTTCTTTTCAGAAACTTTCTCATCCAACAACAACAACAACAACAAAAAAATGTTGGCTGAAAAATGGATTCAATTCAATTGTAAATCACCAAACCAGAAAACAACAACAACAAAACAACAAAAAAAACCATGAAAATTTTTTATATTCGCGAATCAATATTTTTTTTTCTCTTATTTCAACCACAAAAAAACCATATATAAATCATTCACTCAATACCACACACACACACACACACACACACACATTCAATCATTCACACAACACACACACACACACACACACACACACGACACACTAAACACATATATATATATATATACTGATGACGCGAATAAACCAAAATTGAAAATCACGAATTTGACCTCCAAATAATGGCTGTCTGTCTGTTTTTTTAGACATGTTTTTCTGGTCAATCAATTTTTTTTCGATTCTAAATGTATCGTATTGTCTGTGTGTGTGTGTGTGTGTGTGTGTACACGTCATTCTCATCATCATTATCAGTGAGGAAAAAAAAGAGTAAATAGAAAGAAAAAAAATCGATAGAAACAAACCAAAACAGAATGATACGAAGGATAGGAACCAGAAAAAAAACCTGCTATAGAGAGAGAGAGAGAGAAAGAAAAGATAAGCCACTGCATTAGACAATTGGAAAAAATAAAACAAAACAAAACCGGATGAAATGAATGTGTGATAATAGATAAACTGCGTTCATCTTGTTTTTGTTTTTTTTTTTGTTGGATTTCAAAATGAAAAACAAAAATCGATTGCCATCATCGATACGTCGTCATAATGATGATGATGATGATGTCCACGCTGTGATCTTGTTTTATTTGATTTTTTTTACTTCATTTCAAATTCATTATATGGAAAAAAAATGTCAAAAATCAATCGTATGTCTGTCGTGAATCATCGAATCACGAATTTGAATTGATTTACCTGAACAACAACAATGCCATAATAGCGACAATATTTTGAATTCATTAAACGAATAGAATGAGAAAACCAGAACCAGAACCACACAGAAGAGAATAAACTAATTAGAATTTTAAATTTTTCCAGAAAAAATTTTTTTTTTTTTTATGACCCAATTTGAATTCATTCAAAACAATAACAAATAGATCATATTTTGGAACAAAAATAAACCCAAAACCAAACCAAATAAACCAACTATTGACACACCCATAAATGAAGATATGTTCCTAGAATTTGGGCAAAGAAAAATAATAAATTACCACAAAAAAATTTTTTTTTTTTTGAAAGAATTAAATATTTAGACAATCAACTATTCAATTTCAATGGAATAATGTCCATAATTTTTTTTCTTTTGGTTATAAAATTCTATTATTCAAAAGAAAATTTATTCATAATTCTTGAACTAGTGTGTGTGTGTGTGTGTGTGTGCTCCAATTTCATATTCAATAATAATGTTGTTCAAGAAGAAAAGAAAAAAAAGTTCCAATGTTTGATGAGTGACACACACACACACACACTGTGAATTTATTTATATACTAATAATAATAATAATAATGAGATGATGACGGTGATGATGATGATGATGATAATTTCAAACTATTCTGTTTGTATACACGATATATATATATATGAAATGAATTATAAATTATTTTTCTTTTTCATTTTTGACTAGAAAATTGAAAAGAATACAGAATACAGAATACAGAATAAAGAATAATGAATCAACGCCAAATCAAATATATGTTCACGTAATATGGGGCGTTTTTTTCATGTTTTATAATAAAATTCAAAACGGGCGTATAGGGAGTGAATGTTTTTTCTTTTAAAAAATAAAATAAAAGCAAAACATGAAGAAAACAGAAAAAAAAGGAAGAAGAAGAGATAAAAGTGTCAATATTTGACAAAAAATAAATACTGAATAAATAATAGCGTAACACACACACACACTAGTGGTTTAGAATCCAAGAATAATGATCCAAAAATGAAGAATATAAAAAAAAATTCAAATTCATGATTTGCGTGTGTGTGTGTGTGTGTGTGTTGTGGGAAAAGAATCTGCGTATTGCGTATATATTAACATAATGGAATTTACGTTAAAGAAAAAAACAAACTTACAGAATCACATTAAGGAATTGTTTTTTCTTTCTTTCATTCCATGAAAAAAAATCATCATCATTTTTTTTTGATCTTCAATGATCGAAAATTAACAGACAAAAAAAACAGAATAATTCTTCAACCTGACATTTTGACAAATCTTTCTCTTTTTGTTCTGATTTAATAATAATAATAATAATAAGATTGAAACAAAAAGGATTGAAAAAGACAGATTTCTAAAATCTAAAAACCCAATTTATTGTGTGTGTGTTTCGTATGCATTCGGTTATTATTATTATTATTAAAATGAACGAACGACAATTGACGGTTAATAATTTTAACGAATAATAATAATCATCATCATCATTATTATTACGGAAAAGAATGGGATTTATTTTTAGGATTTTTTTTTATGGTATTAAGATGCAAAATTGTCCCCCCAAGAAAAAAAATGATTAAAAATTGACATTCTGATGATGAAGAAAAACCTTTTGACATACCACACACTAGTGGTTTAGAATCCAAGAATAATGATCCAAAATGAAGAATATAAAAAAAAATTCAAATTCATGATTTGCGTGTGTGTGTGTGTTGTGGGAAAAGAATCTATGTATATATATTAACATAATGGAATTTACGTTGAAGAAAAAAACAAACTTACAGAATCACATTAAGGAATTGTTTTTTCTTTCTTTCATTCCATGAAAAAAAAAAATCATCATTTTTTTTTTGATCTTCAATGATCGAAAATTAACAGACAAAAAAAAACAGAATAATTCTTCAACCTGACATTTTGACAAATCTTTCTCTTTTTGTTCTGATTTAA